CCATTTACCATTTAACTTCAGGACTTCCTCTCTGTAGGCTGCCTCGTCTCCCTTTGAGATAAGTCTGACTAATGTGGTGTCTTCAGCAAACTTGATGATGATGTTGTTGTTGTGGGTCGAACTGCAGTCTTAGGTTTAGAGACAATACAGGAAGGGGCTCAGTACACAGCCTTGTGGGGAGCCAGTGCTCAGCATGCGAGTGGAGGAGAGATGGGGGCCAAGTCTTACAGTCTGGGGCCAGTTGGTGAGAAAGTCAAAGGCCAAGAGTGACCAGTTTGGTGAAGAGGATATCCGGGAAGATTGTATAGAAAGCTGAGCTGTAATCCACAAAGAGCATCCATCCATCCATCTGCTTATCCGGAGCCGGGTCACAGGGGCCGCAGCCCTGGCAGAGGAGCCCAGACCTCCCTCTCCTCAGCCACCTCCTCCAACTTGTCTGGGGGAACACCAAGGCCTTCCCAGGCCAGCTGAGGGATAAAATCTCTCTAGCGTGTCCCAGGTCTGCCCCGGGGAACCCTCCTGGTGGGACATGCCCGAAACACCTCATTCAAGAGGTACCCAGGATGCCCGAACAACCTCAACTGGCTCCATTCAATGTGGAAGAGCAGCTGCTCTACTCTGAGCCCCTCCCGGAAGACTGAACTTCTCACCCTATCTCTAAGGGAGAGGCCAGCCACCCTTCAGAGGAAGCCCATTTCTGCCGCTTGTATCCGCAATCTCGTTCTTTTGGTCACTACCCACAGCTCGTGACCATAGGGGAGGGGAGGGACGTAGATCGACCAGTAAATTGAGAGCTTCGCTTTTACACTCAGCTATCTCTTCACCACAACAGACTGGTATAGCATCCATATCACTGCAGCCGCAGCACCAATCCATCTGTCGATCTCCCACTCCCGTCACTCATGAACAAGACCCCGAGATACTTAAACTTGGTGTAACAAAGGACTGGACAGGCAGGGTTTCACTCTAGACACATGAAACACGTTATGGATCCGCATATTTCGGGGACGGACAGAAACCGGGTTAACCAGAGAGTCTATAACAAACAGACCAATGAAGGTGGGAGACAGTTTCTTTGACTGAGCCCGGAGCGGAACAAATTGGATCCACAGCCAAACCTTTTGTCCTGGGGTGTAGGCAGGTGTGGGGGTCCGGTGACGGTCCGCCAGGCGCTTATTGCGATCAGCTGTGCGAAGAAGGGCGGCCCGGGTGGCTCTCCAGGCACGTCGACACCTCCGTAGATGTTGCTGGAAAGAGGGGACAAAGTGCACACCTTCGACAGCCGGAAAGAGAGGTGGTTGGTAGCCCAGAGATGCTGTTGTGAAAGCCATTACTCACAGGCAACTGCCAAATTAGCTGAAAGATCCCAGTAAGAAAAGCTAAAATAAAAGTTAAATTCACAATTTATCTTCACATACTAGTAGTTAATAGATGGCTATTTATTAGGATCTGACATCTGTGAAATTCGGCCGTGGGGAGCTGCGTCAGCCGGGCGAGCTATCTTACCACGAGCTCCGGGAAGGGATGCTACATGAATGTTAGCACCATAAAGATATGTAGTTGACTGCTGTTAATAGATTTTCTGCTTTAACCTCTTAAGCCCCAAGCCTACCTGATCTCCTGCTTTTTGCCCCCGTATCAGGGGGCGCTGGGGCTTAAGAGGTTAAAAAACAAAACCAGTTGGAGTTGTGATATTTATGTTTAAAGTACTGTAACATCACTGATGTGCAGATGTTTAATTTTAAATGCTAATATAGAATATATTAAAATGTGCCCAGCTAACCGCTAGTATTAAGCTACTGCTTAGAAATTTCTGTGTATTTCTGTGTTCTAACATTACTATGATTCATCTGAGTTTGTTAGCTTTCCAAAACGTTGGAGAAGCAGTAATATCTTCATGTAGTGCTTAAATGCACCCTTTCAGTTTTGTTGACTTAGAAGTTAATTCATTTGATAAAGATGCAAAAAGTTTATAAAATGTGATTATAAAATGTGAGGGATCTCATTACTCTGTTGAAGTATTAATGTTTTAAGAAGTTGATATATTTTTCTGAGAAATAATTCAAGTTGAAATATCTTAAAAAGAACAGTTAAAAGTGAGCTGTTAAAGGGATAAATATGGGAGAGTGAATCTTACAAGTTGATTTATTCTTAAAAGTGTAAATATAAGGTATATTTTCTGTTGCGCTAAAACCTTGTGTGATGTAACTCAAGTTATTTCATGATGGTTGAGACATTGTATAACTAAAATAATTTGTTATACTTGAGCAAAACTTGACTGAAAGATGTGTGATGGAAGAAGCATAGATAAAATAGTAATGTATGAACTGTGTGCATAGATTGGTTTTGACCAGGACTGGATCATTTGAGATCTGAACCCTATGGGTTCAGTGGCGAGCCAATCCCAAGAGAGTGACTGTAGACGGACTAGAGTACGGTGTGGTCAGCCGTGGGATCCATCTTCAGCAAATCTCAGGACTATAACTACATTCCTTGACACAGATAAGATTAACACTTTAAAAATCTACCCGGGTAGTGTTAGAACTAGTGGACAGAAACACACACACACAAGGAACTCTAATTTCTCTTTCCAAAGAGAAGTGGACTGAGCAAAAGGAGCGGAAGCTCTTTAATTGAAACTCTGGTTTTGATTTTATTTTTGAGCCCTTTAATGTGCTTTTGTGCACTGTAGGAAGCCGGCTTTAGACAGGCAGGCTTTGTAAACTTTAAAACTTTCAATACAGTTTCTATTCTAATCACATCTTATCTATCATTGTGTGGTTCCTTCTCTGCTGATCCTTTCAAGGCTCCATAATCTTACCTAGAACTTTCTGATACTAGTCCAAAGTTGTCGAGACAATAATTTAATGCGTATCTCATATTATTTAATTGCAATACCTGTTACACTATTGTGGGCATACTCAACCCAT